CAGTTTTCTGATATTATAACTAAGCTACCACTTTCTGAGTGTGTCTATATATGAGGCACTACTGTGTGAAGTGCTTTGTATACATTATCTCTTCTGATTTTCACAACTCTGAGAAGCCCTGAGAGATTATTATCTCTATTTTACCAATGAACAAACTAAGGCTCAAAAGGTTAAATAATTTACTGAAGGTCATTTGGTCAGGAAGTTGAAGAGACACATCTAAAACAATGATTGATCCAACTCCAACCCCTCCATGATTAACCACAATGTAAATGAACCTCTCCTTGGCATGCTGGGGTAGGGACACGAAGAACCAAAATAAACCAACCTTCCTCATTTTCCACTTTAAAAAATCCTATTTATGGCAAACTGAATTAATCTTTGGCCAAAGACAGACCATTAGAGTTGGAGAGTTAACCACTTTTTCACAGTCCACAATCCACAAATGAATAACAGTTACATCACCAAGAAAATATTTTTCTGTGATTATAGTACAAGTAAAATTGTCTCTAATGATATAATATTGAGCCATAAGTTAGATAAATTTATTCTCCCCCAAACTCTAGCAAACACCGTAACTCCTTGACCAACAGCCTTAATACAAAATTATATGAGGACCTAGTCACAGTAAACAAATCAGCCTATATGCTGCCACATACAAAAACCTATACATGAATTTTTAGTTCTACTGGTTATGGCAAAATACTGAAGAGAACCCAAATGTCCTTCAGTGGGTAGATGGTTAGACAACTCTGGTATATCCATGCAAGGGAGCTACTCAGCAATAAAAAGAAATGAACTACTGACACATGCAACAATCTGAATGAAGCTCGAGGGTTTTATGTTTAAAAGGATGCTGTATGATTCCATTGGTATGACATTCTTAAAATGACAAAACCATAGACATGAAGAATGGGGGGTACAAGGAGAGGAGGGCAATGAGGCGAGTCCCACTACTAAAAGAGGTCTTTTCGTGATAATCGAAGAGTTCTGTATTGGGATTATAGTGATAACCATGGATCATGGATAAAACTGCAGAGAAGTTATACATACACATAAACGGAGGTTAAAAAATAGTGAAAAATGAATGAGGTCTATAGTATGTTTAATAATAATATACCAATATCAATTTCCTGGTTTTGATGTTGTACTACTAGTATATGATGTCACCATTGGGGGAGGCTTACACAGGTGAAGATGAAAGGTACACAGAATTCTTTATACTACCTTTGCAATTTCTGATAAACATTTCAAGATAAAAAGTTTAAACAAAAAAATGGACCTGAATTTGAATCTGGATCTGCCTGACTCTAAAACTTGTGCTACTGCCCTACACACCCTACTGCCTATAAAATCTGTTTTATTAAACTATGTATTATTTCCTACAGAGAAAAATAAAAATTACACACAAGAGGCTCATCCTGGGGCTCATTTAAAGAAATCCAGGAAGGACAAAAAGTACTTTATTAGGAAAAAGCTTAATGGCAAGTAAGTCCAGGTGTTCCAATATACTAATATTAATATGGGCATGGAAAAAGAACTTTAGAAATTTGGTGGAAGGGAATCCTTGGGTGGCTTGGTGGTTTAGTGCCTGCCTTTGGCCCAAGGTGTGATCCTGGAGTCCTGAGATCCAGTCCTACATCAGGCTCCCTGCTTAGAGCCTGTTTCTCCCTCTGCCTGTGTCTCTGCCTCTCTCTCTCTCCTCTGTGTCTTTCATGAATAAATAAAATCTTTAAAAAATAAATAAATAAAATAAATTTGATGGAAAATTATTTCTGGGCTGCTTTGGCAACCTGACTAGGGGCACTGACTCTCATTCACTTCTAACTAGAGGTGTCTGGAATCTCTGAAGTCTCCTGCCATGTCTCCTTGTTCACTTGAAAGATTAACAGCTGTTCTTCTACTTACACACCAGGCAAACAAAATGCACAGCAGAAAGCTGTAAATAGAGTCATTACACTGTACATTTGGCATCTTTTGTCTATATACCCAAGAACTTCCTGATGAGGTTGTCCTTGTGAGATGTAGAACATGTCCAAATTATAATGTTATCTCAGCCATAGAGGTGAGCTAAAGGTGCCAAATGTTTTTGGGAGTGAGCAAAAGTTGCTGTCTGCCTTCATATTAAGTCATCAAACCCCTTTATGCTGTGTGGCAGCTATGAAAAAATTACACATTCAGGCAAGGACAAGAATCAAACTAGTGATGGGATGTTTTTCCAATAGTGATGCTTTCATTTTATTCTGTTTCAATGAAAATTATCCCATAATCATTTTTATTGATTGATTGATTAAATAATTTCTAAAATCAGAGCCATACTGATTCACTGTGTCAAGTCCTCATTGCTGAATGTACTATTGGTGAGAGATGCTTACAGCATATGGTTCAATTGCATATAGTTCAATATAACACATATACAGTATCAAGTATTCATTTTTACAGTATCAAGGCTTCATTTTTGAAGCCTCATGTTAAGGAACATGCTTAATTATTTCTAAACAATTCAGACCTTAAAGTTCTTTTAAACCCTTAAATATCTATTTTACTCTAATAGCAGAATAATTTATATATATATGAATATGTATGTATAACATTTATGTATATATAACATATAACATATGTATGTGTGTGTATAAAATTTTAAGGAAAACTTATGCAATTCTAAGGTAAGTTGAAGATCTGTTTTAAAACCATTATATGAAAAATAATACATGTAAATCTGATGATATGGGCAAAATGACAAGTGTTTATTAAGAACGTAATGGCATGACATTGCTTTGGAAGGTTTCACAAATAATGGAAAAGACTACTCTGTAGCCTTAAGGGAGAGATACATAGGTATACAGTTACAAAACCCAAGAAAAACCATAATTACTGCTATTAAGTGTGTAACAGAGCCAATTCAATGTTATGTTAATAACAAGAAAGAGAAAACTCATGAAAAAGGTCTTCAGGTATTTAAAAAGGAAATACATGTCATTAATTGTACTCCACAGAGCTATAGGATCAACAGCTATAAATTACAATAATATACAGGAAGGGTGGTGTTATATATATATATAAAAGCTTTTAAATTTTTTTTAATTAAAGTTCATATGACTATAGAATTTTGTATATAATAAATCATTATTGACTTAATAACTACAGTGATGTTATTAAACCTTTGTACTGAAAAGGAGTTCATAAGATTCTTTCTAAGGGCATGTCATCTCCAGAGGCCCCACAGATCAGAGAAAAGCATCCAGATACAAAGGCCACAAATTAATAGTCAACAGAGACTAGCTATAAAGACATAGCTATAAAGACTTGTAGCTATGAGGTGATATGAGGATAGAATTCTGTCCAAAAGAAGGGATTCATATTGGGTGGGTATTAAATGATGGAGACAGATCCTCTCTCATGAAGAGTTTTGCATTTTAGAGAGGCAAGCAAGGAGAAAGGAATTACAGAGGCATCAGAAGAGAAAGAGAAAAACAGCTCTAAGCATAGTAAAGCAAAGACAGTACAAAGCAACTGATAGCCAATTCAAAGGGAGTAACAAGCTGACTAGGCTTCCAGACTTCCTGCAGGATCACCAAAACTATACTATATTAATGTTCCAGTTCTCTATGAGACCCTTCTGTTCACCCACTAAGGCATATAATTACTATCCTGTGTGAATTTTTTCATCACCAGAGGGAACCTTGAGACAATGTTGAACTTTACATGAATCCTGTACTCCTGGAAAACAAGGACTGCCAAAAAAAACTACCCCTCACCTTTTTTGTGTTCCATAAAACAGCATACGGCAAAGAACTACTCTTCCCCATATGACTTAGATAAAAATCATGGATGATCTCTTGTAACCTATGATAAGACCAAGATGCAGATTCTTCAAATTCCCATTCTTTCACTCATAAATGATCAGCTGAACTATTTGTCTCCATTGACCATTCTGACTGGTCAATGGCTGTTAATTGGAGTTGACCAAACTCTAGTCTGGCTTTTTTCCCCCTCTCCCAAGCCCTGGACTTTGACCCACCCTTGAGCAATGGAAGTTGAACAACTCCTCTCAAATGACCCCTCCCAAGAATCAGCTGACCTCAGTTGACCCTGATCAACTCTCCAATCTTGTCACCAACTCATCCCAGTACCCTACACCCAAAATTTTTTACCCTGTTTACTCCTCTCTATGGGAGAAAAGCCCCTTTGTATTTGATCTTTGAGATGCTTATAGATCTCATGGTAGAAGTGATTCTTCCTATTGCAATATTCTTCCTCCTCCTATTAAGATAATATTCTTTTCCTTACTGTAATAATCTTTTTGAATAAAGCTTCTCTTTATCTAAGTCCAAATTTGTTTTCATCATTTTCAACTTGAAAAAAGCCTCAATTACATAAATTAAAATCATTAAAAATCCTCTTATTATTGACATTTTTATAGAATCTCAATTACTATATATTTCTTGATATACAGCCACATAATAAAATATATAGCACTACCATAAATAACACTGTTAATTTCCCCAATATTCAAACACAAAAATTACTTAATTGGTTGTTAAAATAATTAAAGCATTTCATATCTAAAATGAAAAGTAGCAACCAAAAACTGTGATTTGGAAATCGCAGAAATAATTACTTTCTGTTTTACTTTTTTCTGGCGTTCAATTATCTCTTTACAAGCTCTTCAAAAAAAGGGAAAAAGCTTGATGAATTTATTTTTATGTTGGCTAATTATTAACTCAAGCATGAAACGAACAATAGAGTTCTTCTCTCTGAAGAACTTTCTGAAACAACCTATCACTTTTCCAGTGGTCCAGTGCCCTAGTCTCAAAAATTAACTATAGCACATACATAAAATAAACCTTCAGTGTTTTTAATCCAGAAGGGAAGTACACAAGATAATTTCTTACCAGGAAGATCATCTTTTTCTAAAATATTTATATTCCTGTTTATGAAAAATATTTTAAAATAATACTCATATAACAAATACATCACACAAAAAATCAAGTACTCACCCGCATTGACTATAGCATCTACCTCTAGCAATGTGATGTCACCTCTATAGAGAGAAACTTTTCCACTCAAACTTTTCTTCACCTGTGAAGTTTCCTGAGTATTTTCTTCTGTAATAAAAAATAGTAATAGTTTTAATTTATTTAATAAAGACAATTTTGATACAAGAGCCAGTATGGGTCACAATCTGATATACTAGACAAGTGGAAATACATGTTTAAGTACCAGGGCTGTGGCTTATTCTGTAATTATTACACATTCATCAGTACAAATGTAGTAGCACATATATAATAGGCATTCAGTATATTTAGACATGTTATATTGACCAACAAAAAATTCAATGTTTATTATTATGAAAATAAAAATATAAAATTTAAAATAAAATTATGTACCACTAGTTTCATAAGAAGATAAGAAAAAGATGTATGACCACCAAGACAAAATAAATTTTCACTATGAACAAGCTTATTTCTATTTCATTCTAGTTACCTGAAGTCACCCTTGAAAAGAAAATTTACTCAGAGCAAAAACATGTAGGTTCAGCTCTTTGCTACTTCTAAGTAACAAACGTCCCTCAAAATGAGATGGATTAAGAATATCTGAATGAGTGAAACTGCTTTTCTTATCAAATTGTATTAGCCTTTCACTCTAGAGGGTGCTTGCTGCTAGATTTAAAAGAGAAAAAGCTCTGTTCTGCAGGTAACAGCCAACAAGCTTGTCTAGTGAAAACAAACCAAAATGTTACATTCTACAACCTGACATATTTTCAAATGTTTTATGGCAATATTATAAATAGAGTTTCATTCATTTTTAACAAGTAGACATTAAACACAGCTGTATGAAATCAATGTTTTAAACTGTATTACTATACATAAAAAGCTTTTTAATATACCTCTAGGAAAGATATTAACTTAAACTTTTTAAAGTACTTATGATCTGTGCAAATCTTTCAAGGGGAAAGATAATGCTACTAATTCACTAAGACACACTTAAATGAGCATGTAATTTTGAAGTGTTGGGAGATGAGGAATGATAAGTTATGAGTCACTTAAATTGACTTTGGGCCCCACCAGCCACAGCAAAAATTGGCCAAGACTAAGGATGTGATCTGTGGCCAAAAAAGTGATCTTTCCTCTATCTGTCTCCAAAGCATCCTCTTCTTTGTAATCACCTCTCTCCTTAAAGGATTCTACTCAAAATACTCATCAGTGTTGGCAGTAGTAGCAGTAATAATAAAAAGATGAGAATATGGGAAAATTGTATGTTAAAAGAGTAGAGAAAGATGTTTGAAGACTTCAAAATAAAAAACCACCTCAAAGGTTCCTACACTATTGTCTGCCTTTGCCAGATAATGGCAAAGAGTACAGACTTTCCTACCAGACTAACTCTATTCAAGTTAACAACTGGGTGACATTTGAAAAGTTATTTATTTTCTCCATGCCTGTCTACAAACAACTGGCTCCTTCATAGTTAACATGAGTTCATTACCCTTAGAATAATATTTGCTCCATAGTAAGCTCTCAACAAACACTACTGTTTTTAACAAAAGTTTTACAAAGGTGACAAACTATTTTAGCATCTATATTCAGAATACTACAGTAGTTAAGAAATACTTCCAAATGATATTATTTTGAAAAATGTATCATTACATGATGATGATGATGATGATGATGATGATGATGATTTCCATCAGTGAAAAAGATCAGACTTTGTGCTCTAACCAAGCTGTCAATGCCTGGACCAATGACAAAGATTTTAAGCCAGAAGACCTCGAGTTCCACATCCAATAAGTTTCTATTCTTTCTACTTTTACCAAATTAGAAAGTCCTGATTCCCAATTATATGTGGTTGAACAACATTAAATATTTGTTAACTTTGTCAAAAAAATTCTGGATATTTGTACTATTTTAAACCCAGAAATTATAAAGACTTCTCACTGATGGGTTTCAGAACTCCATCATTGATTAAATTGATAAGCATATCACAAATGAAGACATAAAGTTTGACTTTCCAACCTGGGATGCAAAGTTAGATAGATTTCAAATCCTTCCCTCAAATTGCATTTAGCTCTAAAAAGTACTTATTCATTTTCTCATTCTTAACATGTGACAATAAACCACGTATTTCTTTCTCCAAATGTAAAGAAATTATCAAAGAATGGTATTGGAAAGACTCAAAATTTAAGTCATTTATACCACAAAGAAATTCTAATCTCTCATCTGCAAATTTTAAAAATGGGATATTTTGAGCTTAAACTAAAGCTTAAAGCAAATTCAACATATTGAATAAATATACTGCTATGACGTCATTCAAATAAGTCACTCAAAATGGTCTTATTAGAATCATCAGCATCATGAAGAAATAATTTTATTTCTTCTCTTTCATTTTAAAAATTCCCATGAGCATCCTTTTCCCTCGTAGCCAGATTTATCCTTGCTGCCCAGTTTCTCATATGGTATATCAAAAAGGCATAAATGTACCTAAAAGCTATAATTTGAGAGTATTAATAATTATCAGTCTTTCCTTCAGCAATAAACCAAAACCAAACAGCATGCTTTTGACCACTACCTACTCTTGGTAAATACAATGTAAATCACCACCAGAGGCTAACTTCTTTTATTTAAATGGCATTTCGCTGCCTTCCTTTCCACACAAGTATGTTTGATCAGCACTCCCAATGTATCTTTTCCTATATCCTAGGTTTTCAGTAATAAATAAGATAGAAAATTGTCAAGCATTGCTCCCTCATGGATATCCTATATGTACATACACAAAGCACTAACTCACATTTTGCTCATAATTGGTTTTATCCAACTGCAAGTTGAAATATCTGTCAATGTGCACATAAGATAGTAACTGTTCTTCTAGATTGCATACTATATTGTAAAACAAACAAAAAACAGTAATAACAAAAGAGCTAGACAGTAGTTAAAAGGGTAAAAAACAGACTTCATTCTGGAACTACTGCAATTGGGGAACAGAGATCTCAGTATAGAATCAAAAACAAAAAAGAGCCCCAAAAAAATCAGAAATGAAGGAGAGGTTACAACTGATACTACAGAAATACAAAGGAGTAAGAGATGCTGCTATGAACAATTATACACCAGCAGCTTGAAGAGTCCAGAAGAAAAAAATTAATTCCTGGAAATATACAGTCTTCCAAGACTAAAATCAAAAAGAAATAAAATACCTGCACAGAATGATTATTAGTAATAAGATTGTAAACAAAACCTCCCAACAAAGTCCAAGACCAGACAGCTCCAGCCAGTTGGTTAGGTGGGCTGGCTCCAGGCAGAGGTGACTGAAACCTGTTCCCATCAGGAGACAAGGCCCCCAGGAGTGCAGGTCCAGTGGCACAGGGCCCCGGATCGCAGGGCACCCAAGAAGACAAAGCTAGCATGCTGTGTTCCTCCTGGGACTGGCAGAAGCATGTAGGGCACAGGGCAGTGAGGATTCTCTCCTGCCGCTGGGTGCCCCCAAGCCGTGCAGATCAGCACACCCGCACCAGCCCCCAGGACCATCTAACCCAGTACAGACTGGGAGACTGTGTTAGTTACAAAGAGGGAGCTCGACTCCAGAGCTGGAAATCTGGCCACCATCATTGTTGTCTTTCCTCTTTGTTTCATCCTGTGCCTGGGAAAGGTAGGCTGCTAGGGAAGGAAGGCCTCACAGGATAAACAACTCACACTGAGCCTGACACCTGGCAGAGAGTGGGGCATCTCCACCTAGGCACAGACACCTTAGAATCGGCACAGCAGACACCTCCCCCAGAACACCAGCTGGAAAAACAAGAGAAGACCAAGTTTATTGACCAAGCAACTCTGGAAGGCTCCAGGACTGAAGGAAAATCAAGGGAAAATAGAATAGAGAACTAGAGGGTCCTTTTTTTTTTTTTTTTTTTGCATTACAACTCATTTTTAGATCAGACTAAAATTTTCCAATATTGTTCTCTTTTCCCACCTTAACTACAATATTTTACCAGCTCTTCATTTTTAAGTTTTTTTTTCCTTTTTTACTTTAATATTTCTACAATTACATGTCTTAGATATATTTATATATATCATATTTATATTTATGTTTTGGGGGTCATTGCTGAGACTTTCTATAAGTATTGCTGGTTTATATAAATTTGGGATCGACCACCTTCTAACATACAGAACAAAATACACTCACCGAGGGGATCACCCTCTAGGACCTCTACATTCTCTCTCCACTGCTACTTTTTCACCACCACAATCCCCCAGCCACCCCTTTATTTTTTTTCTTTTTTCTCTTTTTCCTCTTTTCTTTACTTTTTTTTTCTTCTCCTTTTTTCTTTTCTTTTTGGCTTCTGGCCTTTTATTTTTACTACTTTGTTTTAAAATTTGCTTCTCACTTTAGTGGTACTTTTATTTTCTTCTGTAACTTCTTTTTCATTTTCTGGTCTCTGATCTCTTCGGATTCATCTAGGGTATATTATACTTAGGTTGTGGTTGATATTTTTGACTCAGCCTGCTCATACAGCCACTCTGCACTGGACAAAATGACTAGAAGGAAGAATTTACCACAAAAGAAAGAACTGGAAACCGTACTCTCTACAACAGAGTTACAGAATATGGATTTAAATAAGATGTCAGAAAGTTAATTCAGAAGCACAATTATAAAGCTACTGGTGGCTCAGGAAAAAAGCATAAAGGACTCTAGAGACTTCATTACTGCAGAATTGAGATCAAATCGGGCTGAAATTAAAAAACTTTGACATGAAATCCAAACTGGACACTCTAATTGCTAGGGCTAATGAGGGGGAAGAGAGGATGAGTGGCATAGAAGAAAAATTGATGGAAAGGAAGGAAGCTGAAGAAAAGACAAACACAATTAAGAGGCCATGAGGAAACACTTAGGGAAATAAATGATAGCCTGAGAAGGAAGAATATACATCTAATTGGGATTCCAGAAAAGGCTGAGAGAGAGAGAAGACCACAAAGTACATTAGATAAATCATAGATGAGAACTTCCCTAATCTGGGGAAGGAAACAGACATTCAGATCCAAGAGACAGAGAGGACCATTCCCCAAAAAAATCAATAGAAACCATTCAACACTTCCAAATTCAATAGTGAAACTTGCAAATT